CATCTTTTCTGCCAGTTTCTGCAGTATCTCGTGGCCGGAACGATCGACCTGGGCGGGATTGAAGGTTGGATTCGCGGGATTTCTGCTGGATCTTTGTTTTGTTTCGTTGGATTTCCCACAGTTTGCTTCGCTTTCTGGCGGGAATCTAGTAGTTTCCTGTGGATTTCGCGTTGCGAGATTATCTTGGATAAAAACCGTTTCCAGTTACGGTGAATTTCCGGCTCGAAATACTGCTTCCAAGTGCCATGTGTTTTTCCGCCAGAACCTGGGGAAAGCTCAGTGGATCCTACAGAAAACACGCTGAAAAAGTCAGGGAATACGGCCGAAACCGACCGTATCCCCAAGTCGGAATCAACGGCCTGTGTTCAATTTTTCTGTATTTAATCTTGCTGTTTATATACAAAAGCAAACGCAATTAAAAATATTTATTGAACAACAAACATGCATTAAAAATGAAATACAGTTTGAAAGGATTTTTGTAGTGTTCTGTTTATGATGATACGTTTACATCGGAAACAAATTATAGACGTGAACAATCATATATGAGTCGTACTGTTTTCACGAAGTTTTGAAAATATTCGAAGTTCAAATGCAATATTTAGTCGACGAAAAAAGTTTTGCCCGCTAACTATATCGTTTAATTTACCCTTTATAAAGATATTGAAAAAAGATAATATTATTATCACATATATTGCTCTTAGATCCTTCATTACTCATATTTAGCTTTTTTATTTCTTTAAGCTTTTTGTTTTAAATTGATTAAATACTAAAATCATCAAAAAGTTAGTCAATGAAAACAATTTCGTTCGTGTTGAGAGGAATATTTTTCTTTATTTCAATGAATAAAATTATAGTACAATACATATATATATAGAGAGAAATTATACACATTTAATATATTCATAATGTCTTCTTAGTTGCTTGCTTCTTCTTTGAGTACAAAAAAACATTCTTCACGTGTCAAATGTCGCATTTTTAATGATTTTAGTATTTAATCAATTTAATCGACTAATTTGTTATATATTCTAAATTGATATTTTAAATACCATAATTATTAGATATTTTTTTTTATAAAGAATTTTCAATTCATAAAAATAAACATTATTAAGAGTCAAACAAGGCACCGAAACAAGGAATATCTTTACGCCAAAGTGCATTAACCACTTCAATAGTAAATTTTTCATTTGATACAACAAATACAGCTTCTGAAGCTGTTCTATAAAATACATTTTCAACGAGCTGAGGACCAGGTCGTCCATTAACTGTTGTATCATGTAAAGTATAATGTGGATGTGTTTTTTGAACTAATTTCCAAACATATTCTCCATAATTCTGTTCATGTCTTTTAGCGATCCATAAGAGATGTGTATGGGTTGTAGGTAACGGATTTTTAATATAGGGTAATGCTGGTGCAATACCAGAACCGGTACATACAATTAATACTTTTCGATAAGCATGAATGCTATACATAAAGCCAAGCCCTTTTATTCGTCGAATCCATACGTGTTGTGGTAGTTTATTAGAACGATAATCAGCAGCTAAACCTGTTGTCCAATCTCCAACAGCTGCAACTAAGATTGAATGTTGATCTGTGTAGGAATCAGTTAGAGCAATAGCAAATGCATGCCATTCATGTCCATCTAATGATATACGTGTCGTTGAACCATATGGATAAAGTGCACGTGGAAACGTAATAATAGTTAAATCATTTGATGGTTGATCATATTGTACGATCACTTTACGAACACATATCCATGGTAAAAGGATAATAATAACAATAAATAGTGCAATCAAAACAGGGACATTAAATAGAGCTTTTGTACTGAAAGAATCAAATTCGTCTAATTGAATAAAGATTACATGAATAATAAGGATGATTATACACGCCAAACCAACATAATGATGAATAAGTTCAAAAGTATTATGAAAACGACGACGAACTATTGGTATTGCTGTCATTGAAATAAATATCATAAAAAATAAAATAATTCCACCGCTTATTCGTACACCTAAGCCATGTCGTTCACAAATAAGAGAAATTAATAACCAGACACAAGTAGCGATTGCTGATGAAACATGAAGACCACCAATACAATGTAACATTCGATTAAATTCATATTTGAAACATGGAATCAATGCTACAAGTCGATGGAGTAGAGCTATAAAGATTTCATTTCGTACAAGCACACCAAAAAGCAATTCACAAATTGCTATGGTGCTACCTGAAATTTGAATTATATGCGTAAAATAGACTGCACACAAAGTAATTGTCACTAAAGCATGAATTATAAGCCACACATGATGACAGGTTATATAGTCAGGAATTGTACGATGATACCATGCCTTGATTGAATGCATTTTCCTAGTTGATGGTTTTGCCGAGTCTTCTTCAAAAGTTAATCTTGCTTCACCATTTTGTGGAGCAGCTACATCGTCTGATGATGAATGTTGATTAGATGGGTTTTCATTTTCCTCAAGAATGTCATCATCAAAAGGTAAAAATACTATTGAATTACTAGATGTAATCCGTTTTCGTCTGGTAGGAAAATGAGGTTCATAAGATATGGCACGTCGATATTTATTCAAATGCGTAGAATTAATAACCGTTGGCCATTCAGAATTTTTTAATTGATTTATGGCATTGCACTTGTCATCGGCCATTTAAAAAACTGAGTAGTAGTTTCTAAATTCAAGTAAAATCAACTATATTTCTAATGACAGAAAGGGTGTGGGCATCGATGTCGGTATCGGTGTTTGCGTGAGTATTTCTATTATTCGCACCCATACTCACACCCATCCCATTGTTAGAAGTGTCATGAGAACTAAATAAAAAATGAAAATTACAGTAAGTATACTTTTCAGGTTTTTCTCACAAACAATGACGAGCAATACTCGGAACAACCAAGTGAAAAAGAAAAAGGAAAGCTTTTTTCATCATGTTTCTTCTGTTCAATCTTCGGCAACTATCGGAATAAATAAAATAGAAAAGAAGTAAACTAAACTAGCTTCCTCCGTTTCTCTGCTAAAAAAACAGTTAAAATATTGATGCAATAAAACGAAGAACAGTAAAGTAAACTAGCTTCCGTTTTTCCGCTAAAGTTCACGATCACTATGAACATAAATAAATGATGAAAGAAAAACCAAATAGGGCCAACAGATACGGGTTGCTCGCACGGCGACACACAACTATAAGAATAAATAGTTTAAAATAGCAAAGAAAAAAATTAAAAAAAAGAAAATTATAGTAAGTAAACTTTTCTAGTTTTTCCCAGAAAGTAGCGGACGATGGGTATGGGTGGATGGGGGTGGGGTGTGGATGAGAATCTGAGTGTGCGTGTACAGGTGGCTATGTGGTAGGATGTGGCTGTCGCTATTACATGTAGACAAAGTCGATTTCATTCAATTTCCACTTACATCCACACTCACAACCCACACCCATCAACCCACCCACATCCCACACCCAAACCCACACCCTACATGTGTGACTTATAACATTCTATGGATCAAAAGTGTTTTTACACAAGATTTAAGAGAATTTGACTATCAACATTTTGTTGAAATTTCGTAGCTTTACCTTTCATGATAATTATTTTCAAGAAAAAAACAAATTTGACTAGTCTATTGTGACTATAATTGTAAAAATCTACTTTTAACATAATTGATGCAAAGATCGAAACTATTACTTATCTACAATCAATGTGTGTTTAAATATCAAATTGGATAAAATAAAAACAAACAAAATATTTCGCAATTAGATTATATTTTTTTATTGGTCAATAAGTATAAGACCTCTAGATTATCCTTTAAAAAAGTCATAGAAACCTCTCAAACTACTTTCACATGTTTTTTTTTACAAAAGAACAAAAGAAAAAATTTTCAAACGACTTTCTGTTCCATCAGTATCCAAATTTCACTAAAATAAAATCTAAATAAAAATACTATTGATTTTTAAGAACTTAAACATACAGCAAACATTGTTGTCCATCGACTTCTACCTGATTTCTTATGACAAAGAACTGTTTTCAACGAATAATCCTTGAACAAATTGTACAGTCAATGCTGATTTACCAATGCCATCACTACCAAGTACGACTATTTTATATTCACGCATTTCTTTAATTATCTTTTTTTTAAACGAAAGAAGTCTGAAAAAAATATCAATCGATGAGTTCTTTCTGGAAGAAAAATTTCAAAATAGAATTTATTTCAATTATGATTAAAGCATTGGTACCACGAATGTAACAATCATGAAAAGATAAACAAGAAATATGACTCGTTGAATGTGACATAAAACTACGTAGTTTCAATTCTCGATATGCAACATTAAAAAATAAGTAATACTCACAAAAATAATTTTATTCACATTAAATCGTAAAATCAAGAAATAATGATTGATTATTTTGGGTGTGGGTCGGTGCGGGTGTGGGTGGGGTGGGTGGGGGTGGGGGTGGGGTGTGTAGGTGTGGGTGGGGGTGTGTAGGTGTGGGTGTCGGTGTGGGTGGGTGTGGGCATATTTTATTATTCATCCTGAAACCCACACTCACACCCGCACCCATACCCACACACCCATACTCACACCTACACAGCCACAGCCACAGCCACACCCCACACCTACCCACACCCATACCCCACACCCACACCCACACACCCACACCCCCACACCCACACACCCACACACCCACACCCAATAATTATCTTTTAAATATAGAAACCGCAATGGATAAAACAGTTCGAGCACAAACTGAAGAATCAGACTATGAAGAAGCTGTTATACGATATAATTTTATTTATATGATTAATTAATCATTTGTTACATTTAAGAATTACGGAGCTTATAATCTTACGAATGCGTTCACCATTGTTATGATCTCGACCATTATTTAAACTTTCCGCTGTAGGTCGTGAGCACAATTGTCTTGTGGGTATTATACATAAATTTACTCGACAAGTAAGAATGCCAATAAATGAAATTAAATATTGGCATCATGAAAGTGCGAGTTTTATTTTATTTTTGTGGTTGAGACCTCTAATAATGTCTAGTACACAGTTTGCTTTCAAAACATCCCATTAAATTTGAATAGCTTTCTATCTTAGAAAGTTTTGTTTCTAACACATATACATTATCCTACTAGTAGTATGATGAAATCAAGTTAATAAGAACCATTCATTTTAACGAAGACAATTTTCTTTTTAGGTAATCGAAGATCGTATTACTAAGTTTTCTTATTTTTCGATTGTAATTTAAACAAATTTTAGTTATGATACAATTGTAACAGAAGAAACATTAAGACTTCTACCATTTGTTCCAATAATTGGATGAGAAATTCAAGAAACTCTTCAATATGATCTGTTTTTCTTTAAATGTTTTTGTTTCAATTACTCCCTTCTATCTTCAGATGGTAAAACATTTTTGAAAGGTAGAACAGCTATAATATTTATCTATGAAATTCATCGTGATCCACGATATTTTCCTGAACCAGAAAAATTTGATTCTAGTCGATTTTTACTTGAAGTAGTCCAACAGCAGCATCCATATGCATACATTCCGTTTTCTGCTAGTTCATAAAATTGTATTGGTATGTAGAAAAATTCTTTATAGCTTTTTTTTTATATTGATTTCATTCTTGTTATGGAAGGTCAATATTTTGCCTTGCTTGAAACACAAGCATTTCTTTCAACAATAACTCATCGACTTCATCTAACAACAAGTCAATGTTATCAAGATTTTGTACCGACAAAACAAATAATTTTTCGTTCTGATAATACACTCCAAGTAAAACTTATACTTTGTGTTTTGACTATGTGTTGATTTATTTGACGAAAATTATGATGATACAGAGATTAAAGAGTAGATGTAAATAATTACTCAACAGCTTTGAAAAACCATGAGAAGAAATGGGATTTATGAACATTTCTAAGTTATTTTACTGATTCACAAGCCTGTTGAAGTGCAGGTATGGATGTGCGACTGAAAAGCATGATCAACACATACACCCACATCCTATTTGTCTTTCTTATAAAGGTAACTGCAGATCTCTAATCGCTCACGTTTATAATTTAATTTATCTACACTGATCGTATTCCTATCGAATTACTTGAAAGTCTTGTATCCGCTTCATATTCATTGTTCATTAATAAGTTGCACGAAAACGTTATAAAGTTTTCAAAAAGTATCTATAAATAGAAAACTCTTCTTTCTGTATTGGATGCTTACACGATTGATATGCATCGAAAATTAAGTGTAAATACAGAAATCTCTGTCTGAAATTAAGACCAAACGGTGAATGTTCGAAGTCAAATGTTGAACAATGACTTTTTTTTCAAATTAATAATACGATTGTAGGAAAGAAGCAAGATGATCATAATAACCGAGAATTTGATTTTCGTCTGTACAAGAAAACTGTATATGTTGAACACATTAAACATAACAAAATAAAGTTCTCGTAGTGCATAATGAATAATACCGTTGTAATTGTTAGTGGGTATAGTTTCAATGTTATTGATGTTGACTGCTACATTCGTAGCAACACACTCACACCAGTGAGGATGAGAACTGAAAATGCTGATGATTCTGGAAGACAGAGCATTAGATGCTCAAGGTTATATGAGTGACGTTATCTCCAATAATTCTAAAACCCAATTGTAAGATGTTAGGAAAGAACTGTATATATCAGTAAGATGGTGCAACAACATATGCAAACCATCTGAATTAAATATTGCTGTACTAGGCATTTTTCTACATTCATCCTGAAGTATCGTTAAACAGTAAATTCATCTCCTATATATTTTTCACATTAAATCATATTAGATGACTTAGTGAGAGCAAATCTTTGATCAACTAACTGATATCTATCGTCATAAATATCAATAATTTGTAAAAGAATGACTCAAAACGAATGTTGACGTTTAGGAGCTACTATCCGCATCTAAGCTTTAGCACACAAATCCTGACGGATATAATTATAGCAATATCAAAAATTGTGGGAAACATAATTGATAGAAGATCATAGATCATATATCAAGAATATTTCCTTATAATAACTGAACTAATAATGCCTTATTGGATTAATAACAACTATATCCTATTTCATATATTAACATCATAAGGATTGTGCTACTAAATTTCAGAATGAACATTGATAATTATTGAATTTAGTTTTGTTTTAAATGAAATGAAACTATTTTAAGCACATACAAGCAGTTAGCAAATGATGAGTATGAAGTATATATAGTCTATAAAATTATTCTTATGATCTTTGTGTCTCCAAATTACGATGAAATATTTGAAGAGTAATCTGTTGAATTAACTGCAGAAAACTCATCTTTGTATTTTTTCTCTGGTAATACAAAGACTATAATTGTCATCATAGATGGAATAAAATGAATTAAATAATTAAATACGTACAACCATAGATCTCTTGTTGATTTGATACATCTACGAATCAATGAAATACTTAAGCAAGGTATAGTTAATAATATTATTGTACAAGATGCAAATAGATGATGTTTGTATTGATGTAACTGTTGTCATAAATGTTTTTTAAATGGTGTTTTGAATCGAAATTTAGAATGAGAACGAGCTATTGATATGATAATAATTATAGTAGAGATTAGATTGATTGAGAAAGGAATAAGAAAATGAAAAAAAAATTAATGAATATATTAAAAAGATATTAATTGAAGAAGAGTATCGAACTAAACACCACAATCGTTGTTCATCACCATCAGAATCATTTATTAAACGACGATGAATTGGATCATGAATATGAGTAATAATTGTCAGAAGAAATATACATAAAATTAGCCATTTAGCCATTTGTCTATTTTTAACTTGATTGAATTGGACACCATTAATAACAGTAAGTACTCGTTCAAAAGCAACACATCCATAAAATTAATCATTTGATGTAACAAGAACTTTGAGAATCATATCTAATAATATACAATTCAATGTAAGAAATGTTTGATTAGTAAGAATGACAGTTTGTGATAAAATCAATTGACTAAACTTGATTACTAATACAATACTTAGAAGCAAAGAATTACACGATGATGCTAAAAGATATAAACTATAACCAGTTTGTCTAATGTTTTCTTTACAAAATGTCATTATAGATAAAATCACGAATGATTGTCGATGAAATAAAAACATTTGGTTTAATATGATAACCAAGAATATAATCAAGAGATAATACAAAATCTTTTGTAAAAAACTGACATTTTGTACCATAATAACATTCAGAACATGTGCATATTGATAGAATGGAACATTTAATATTGTCTTGAAAACATAGACCTTCATTTTCGCAAATATTTTCTCTTTGACAGTCATATGATAAAGTATGATTAAATGTAAAACAATTAGAAAAATGATTAACATCACATATACACATGTATCTATTTTATCATAAAAAGCATTTAAATTACTTTTGTTGTTGACACAAATAAGGATAATATTTAGCACGATGAACAAATAAATAATTTAGAAAAGTATTATTCATCAATTCACTTATAGATAAACATTGATAATTTGTCAATATTCTTGTTTGAATATATTCGGATTCGATAAATTTTTCTCTTAATATACCTAAATAGTAAGTTCGATTTGTTAATTCAATTAAGAGAATATGAAATGAATGTGTTTGTGGGAACTGTAATTATATTCTGATTGAAATTAATCTTTTTCAAAAATTGTCTTATGCTGATGATTATCATTTTCAATAGCAATAATAAAATGTATAAATACGAATGGCATCATACTAATTTTATCATCATCAAATTTAATATCAATTCGATTTTTCATATTGTGTTTCATAGAAATTTTCCGTACATAAACATGTAAATTTATTTAAACTCATGCGATCATCAATAGATATACAAAGTTCATTATTTTCACAAGAATTATTGAATATTTGACAAACTGAACTTTTTAAATAACATTTTGAACCAAATTTATTCATTGAACAAACACAAATAGATGGTGTAAGACAATATGAATCAAATAAACATGAACAATTATGTTTAATATTACATTGAACACTAGAATGTCCTTCATCACATTGACAAAAATATAAAAATTTTCTATTTATATATTCTACACAATGACCATGTTCACCACAATATAATGAACATAATTTTGAAATCATAGTTTTATTTTGAATAAATATTCGGGTCGCAATACGATTAACAGGTAGAAACTGAAATGGAATAGGCACATACCAACTGACTAAATATTTTAATGATATTTTATCAAATATATCGATATGTAGTCAATAATTAGTAAAAGAATTCTTTGGTTGATTTAGATAAAGTAAGTAAATATTATATTTTGTGTGCGACAATCACGTTTTGATACATATGTTATTTGTTCATGATATAATGTGATCTATTTTTGTTCATCAATAAGCATGATAATAATTTGAAATATTACAATTGTATAAGTTTCAACACGATGTACTAATTCAAGTGTCAAACTCATTCGTTGATTTTGCCATTGACATCGGTCACCGAAATAACTAGGTAGACATAAACATTTATTTGTTTTGTTATCATTAAAAAGGATGATAATTCTTCAATTGCAATGTCAACTTCTCATTTCACTCATATCTACATTGACAGTTGGTTCTTTTTTTCATTTTGGAATCATTTTGGTTCAATAATGCATTTGAATTTTCAGGAAAATATTCCAATTGTGATGATATCAAAAAAGACTTCTCGAATTCTATTTTTCATACATTTTTTAGGAAAAAAGAGCAAATATTTTTTTTCATTAAAAACAAACCAATATAGAATTATTATTGAGCAGGATATTTTGAACTCATAGAAATAGATGTCCTTCAGTGGCGTTACTGATGATATAGAAACAGAGTTCTTCTAAAGAAGTGCATGGAGAATCGTAGGAGAAACATTGTAATATCTCATTGTTATGCGTCGTATTCAAATTGAGGATGTGGGTGTGGTTAAGAGAATATCCACACCCATACCCCAATTTTGAGTGTAGCACTTTGTTTGACTCGATATATGATAGATGATAATCAAAATTGTTAAATAAGAATATGATTTTACCAGTTTTTTTTAGAGAGATCGTTTAGCATATTCGAGAAATACAAAAGATATTTTCGAATATTTTTGTATAGAAAAATCGATTGGTGAATTTCGAAAACATTACTGAAAGAAAATTTTACTTATATTTTGATTTTTCATCATGGATGAACAAAATACGATAGATTGTGTATGGATCAAAGCTACTTTAGTTCGTAGCTTTAGTTACTTTTTTTCTATTTGATGGTAACATTTATTGCTTATCAAGAATGATGATCTTAGATAATTGCACTTTTTCTAAAATGTATTTAAAACAACTATGGTGGACTGTAGTAAATTTTTTTAAATAAGATTTTAGTTATTTAGGAAAGTTAAACGAGAAATTTGATTCTGAGCCATTACTAATGTAATATTGTCTATGAGTTTATGCGTGAAACTCACATGTCTAGTATTTGGATACATAGAGTTATGTTCACCTTTATAAATTTCTTATTCATTAAAATTAGTAAGAAATCTTAATCTTAAAACATGTTTCAAGTCAATATTTTTTTTCATCTTATGTGTATTTGCATTGAAAAAAAATCATAGATGTAAAGTAAGCTAGCACTTTGAACATGAAAGATTTGTCTGAAAAGAAGTCATGACAATAATACATAGATAAATTTCAATAAATTTTTTTCTTTTGAAAAACTGCTGTCAAACCAAAATGATCTGATGGAAATATTTGAAATTGTTCTTCATTAGCAACAGGTTGATCTCCTAAAATATTAATTTGAACAGGAATTATTGTTTGACTATGTAAAATAATTCGGTCATATCTTGCTCGTTCTGGTTTTGTACAATAAGATTTTATCATTAAATTCGTTTCTGTATCAAATGTAAAACCATGATTATGAGAATCCATTAAGGACGTCCAAACATCAATCCATTGTGGCAATCTATTAAATTGATCAACATTTTCTTGATCATCGGCAGAAAAATTGAAATCTCCCATTAAAATATAACTACCTGAAGAATAAGTTAATGCTTTTTGACAAATATCTAATTGACATAATCGTTGTTGTTTATTATCTAGAGATTCTAAATGAACAGTACCAATACGTAATATTTCATTCTAATCTAATTTAATCTGTGCAAATATTAAACGACGACCCATTATCGATTGTGGAAAATTCATCAAATTTAAGTTAGAAATATTAAGACGATTATCAATTAATAATACAACACCATACCAATCATTGAATGTACGACCATCAATATCGGATACATAGTATCGTTCTTGAACAAATGGTTGTGCAATAAGTTGTTGAAGAATATTTTTCGTCACTATATATATACATATACATATATGTTTTTATTACAATCAGAATAAAAAAAATCAAACGAACTTTCTTGTAAACCAATTATTTGTGCTTGAGATTTATTTAATATATCACAAAGACCATTAAAACGCATTGGTTGATAATTTTTCGAAAACCAAATATTATATGTAAGAACTCGAAAATTTTTCCATTCGATCGTTGTTTTATTTTGATAAGGTGATTTTTGTGACCATACATATGTTTGGTTATTATATCCCCATTATGGAATTGAAAATTCTTCTTTGTTCTTCTTATTATCCATACAACAAAAAAATTGACGCAATAACATTAAACAAGATATTATTGGTTTTGTTTTCTGAATTATTAATACCGGTATTGTTTTTCGAAATAACATAAATTCAATAGAAAATACTTTTAATTTATATTATCGTCAGAATTGGTACGGAGTCTTAGGCCCCGAACAGACCAAAAACAGAGCGATTTAATTTTTGTTTTAAGTCAGCGCGCGTCCACACACAATAGATAATCCACTAATGAAAACTGAGAACATCCTCTATAATGTAGCGAAAATAAATCAATTTAGTGAAGTTTTTAGTTGTAAAAAAAAACATTTTTATTTGTTAGATCGGTAACGCTTTGAAAAGTCATAATCTATTGAATATCAAACAAAACTAGTACTATTTTATAATAATTAATTTTTTCGAGCGACATCACATCTATTCTCTATCTATCGATTCATGTATTTTTCATTGTTCAATCATGCTATTGAATGATTGGCGCATTAAAAGTTGAATTAAGATAAATCGTCTCGAAAAGATGACTTATTTCTGTTTTATCGTTTCTAAACGTCTCATTGGTTAATTCAGTTTTATCTTGTTCGGTCTGTTCGGGGCCTTATTCAAGTTGTAGGTCAATTTACAGGCACAAAAAGTCAAGTAACAACACATTACGAATAAGATCGTTGACCTGAGAATTCAAAAAAGAGAAAGATTCATATATCAATCAATTGTATAATTCAGGCTGACATTATTTATTCAGGCGTGGGTACATCTGCAGACCAACAACACTCACTTTTTCATATGCTCTGTCAATTAGTGTAGAGCTTGTCGGGTTCAGGAATTTGGATCGGACCAAATCCGGAATCAAGCCGACCGGCTCTAGTAGAGGATATCGTCGACGGTTGGGCGGCGGGGGGGGGGGAGAGGAGGGAACGCACTGCCAATTTTCGTTTTAGTATAGTTGTTTTTGCTCACCGATTCCGAAAAAATGCGTTTAATCCATGCTCCGATTCTAGCGACCTCAAAACATTCCTAATATTTACTAGCTGTCTTTTCATATAAAGTCGAATATCTTATTTTACTTTATCAAAAATAGACTTCTTGCAAATTATCATATTTAAAAATTTTTTAGATATTATTTTCAATTCAACCGTCCGATACGAAAATTTCAAACAATATGTCAAGCCATGTTAATGATGAAAACAATGATAGTTACAATGATTTATTTCATTCAGTTATGCCGATTGGTAGTCAATTAGATTCAGGTTATTTAACATTAACAACATCATCGTGTCTAACATCACCATCTCGTCTGTCACCATCAAGTGTTATACTTAATCAAAATGATTCTCCAATATCCGAACATGATATACAATCACCAATAAATGCTCCTATAAAAAGGTTTCTAACAAAAATTGATTATGAACATTATATATTAACAAGAAAACATTTCGATATATTAACGCAATTATATCATCGTAATGCATATCATATAATTGAAAAAATTTACCGAAATTTATCAAATAATGATTTAAGTTCTTGTTCAAATGTATCTCGAAAATGGTATTCTGTATTAAAGGATTATTATCGACGTAAACAAACAAATAATGTTAAACGTAATTTATTTAATAGTTTTATTAAAACTCCAATTAAAAAAACTCAATATAAAACAAAACCAATGCAAACAATAACTAATTTACTTGATATTAAATCAACAACAACATGTATTGTTGAAACAACTAATGAGGAAAATATCCTTCCATTAATATCATCACAAAATATATTTACATCATCACCTGATAATAATATTCATCTTGCAGCAAGTACAATGACATTTCGTTATGGTTATTTAAAATATTTACATGGACCAACGGTACCAAAACGTTGTCCGATTTGTGCTTATGTTTCAATTGTTGATGTTAATGATCAGCATGGGTACGTTTTTTAAATAACAGTTTTTTTTTTTATTCAGTCACAATTCTTCGATATTTGTAGACTTGAGAAAAATCTAGATAATAACAGATACATCGAAATTTTATAGACAAAATGTTTGTTGATTTTTCCACTGAAAAAGAGGGTCAGTAGAAAGTATTAATTACTTGGTTACAATTAGAATTTGATGTTGTTTCCTACTGTATATTCAAAATTATCTGTGAAAATGAAATTGGAACGATCTTCTGAAATTTAATAAAATGACTAGAAGAGCGGCGAACATTTCTCTACAAGACATCTATCAACAATGACGTGTTCTCAATTCCTTGGATTTCCGGAGTTATAAAAGTGTACTCCATCATTTCTGGCTAATAACTGCAAGATTCTCAGTTCTTAGCTAACTTTGTAAAAGACAATTTGAATCTTTTTTTCACTATCCAGAAAGTCACTAAAAGAACATATGCAATAAGGGAAACTACTGTTATGAAGGAAATTCGTTATTCCGGTGCTGAGCCAAGTAAACTCAAAACATGATATAGTCAAGAAAAAAAAAGTCCGATTAAACGAAGTTAACGAGTAAAAACACTGAATAACAGCATGAAATCAATGTCCAATCGGATATGGTTGCATTCTTCGTCTCAGGATCAGTTAGTGAAATCATCTCCGTCTAAACTATGACTCTCACAAAAATTCTGATCATAACCAAGTGTAGTCAATGTATCATTACATGGATAATTTGATTTTGCTTTTCTCTCTTGTATCGGATCAATGATAAATTCAAAAAGTTAAACGTTAGTTCTATGAGCTAGACAGACACAATTGGAGAAAAGTTGTAGAAGAAGGCCACGTCCTTACCCCGTCTAGTTACAATACTATCAAAAATTCACTTTCATGTTTGCTATACTTCAACAAACTATTCGTAGAAATTTTTTGTTTTGTAAAGCATGATCTAGAAGGAGTGATGAAGACATACGTCCTAAAACAATCTTCTGGTGGTTAGCAACAACAGCTACATTGTGTTTCATATTTTAATCCTGCAGGAATTGTGCTAATAGATTTTTAATTTGATTGTATTTTGTAGCATTTGCACAAATCCATTATGTCGAAATAGTTTTTGTCAATGTTGTTCTGGTCCTTATCATCCATCAAGTCCATGTAAAACAACAACAGGTCCAATAAAATCTCCATGGCGTCAACGACCTGCTATTTCTCCTATATTTTCGAATAAAACACGACATAATTTACGACGATTACTGATATGATAATAATGATGAGTTTATTTATTTATTTATTTATTTATTTCATAAAAATAATTTCGTTTTCTTTTTGATGTTCTCGAGTTGATTTGTTGTTGTGTCATGTGAAATACTGGTCATGTTTTAGCTTCTTCTTGATCTCGTTTTTTTCTTCTCTTACTTGATAAAAGATTATGTAAAATTAATGTCAGATATCATTTTTTTCGTCGGTTGAATGTATGTGTATGTATTTATGTATATAAATCGAACAACTATTATTTATCGAATTGTAAACCTGTGCAATAAAATGCTGTTAAATGTGTGTGCGTCTTTTTTGTCTTATTAGTTTTTTGTTGTTGTTGTTATGCTTTTCTCTTTTTTTTTTATATTATATATATGGTATGTAGAAAAAAAACATCCTTGGTTGTCAATAAAAACAAAATCGTACATTTAAAAACAATTTTTATTTATGAATTAAGCGATTGGTGAATTTTGATAATGTTGGATTAGCCAACGATTATGTGCTTGAACGAGTTCTAATGCTTGACGTTTAACTTGCTCGTATTGTCCTTGAGCATTTTGAGAAGCAAGAGATTCATCAAGACCAAACAAAGTTTGAGATACACTTTGTAATTTTTTCTCAAGACCAACAAGCTAAAACAAAAATGAAAAGATCAACAATTCATTAGTATACTGAAGAATGATCGTTAAGCGATGAAATTGGACACTTCCTAAAATTCAGTTTTATATCCTTAACAGTCAATGCAGAAGTCAATTGCTGTTCAAATTAGATCGTTAAACTTCATTTCGACTGATTCAAAATTTAATATTATCTATCTCTCATAGGTTCATGATATTGAAAGTTTGTCTCTCTTTTTCAACTTCTTTAAGTTAATTTAGAGATCAAGGGAAAGGCTTTTCTTCAAATGACATTGTTGTCTCATATATACAAAATAAGGGCGGCCATAACAAAATTTCACCCGTATCGAGCTCTGAAAGTAGTGATCCACATTTAACTATACATTAGTCAATGGACTTTTCAAAGCTCTAAAAAATGATAAATTTGAAATCAGCACAAAAAACTGAGTCGATCTATATGTGTCACAAAATCCTTCAATCGCTTTTATTTTCGTCCAAAAAGTCAACAATCCTGGTCCCTCCAGAGTTAGTGCGGGAAAAATGAATTCAGTCAAAACATCGTTTTTATTGTTTATTCAAGTGTCATTTGGAATTTTCCTAGATTTTTAAAAATTTAAAAATGAATTTTCACAGCCACAATGGCATCTTGACTGATTTTATTTTTCGTCTTAATCCTGAGGGGTGAATCAGTGTGAAATTTTCAGACGAAAAAAAATTCTTGGAAGATTTTGTGACCTATACAGTTCGAGTCAGTCTTTATGCTAAATATATCATTTGTTTTGATAGAAAACATGATTTTTCTAACAAAAATTCGTCAAATATCAATCGAAAAAGGCAAATTTTCACCATTCATGAATATTAAAGAAACTGAAGGAACCAGGCAGGCATAATTTTAATACAAATTCTGCACTATATAAACCTTTAATACTAAGTTTTGAATTAGTCGTGCAATGAAGTCCAATTGTAATTGAATTCTGGCATCTTAATTGACAATTGAAGGAATAATAAACTCAATGTTAGAAAGAGACTGATCTCATTGCTTAACAACTTTTCAGTTTCTCCTTTTCATATTACTTGTTGATGTGTTTCATTATCACGTAATTGTGTTTGTGCAGCTTCGAATTGTGATTGTAAAGTTTGAATTTCAATTTTCGTAACTTGTCTTTGTTTACCCATATTACTTTTATCAGCAGCTAATTGTAATTTTCTTTTTTCAGCTTTTCTTTTTAATCCTTCTAAATCATTAAATTTTTCTAAATCTTCTTGCATTTTTGCATATTGTTTTTTTAATTCTTGAAGTTCTTCTGTTAATTTTTGATCAAGTGTTTCAACTTTTGCATAATCTTGTTTAACTTTTCGATGTTGTTCAGCTAATATAGCTAATGTATCATGAGATTTTTTCTTTTCAGCTTCATGATGATCAACATTTGTTTTTAATTGTGTATAATCATCACGTGTTAATGCTTGATCACCTTTAACAAGTGTACGACTAATTAATGCTAATAATGTTAAATTTGTTTTTTGAATATTTTTAATATCATTTAAATATTGTTCACGTGTTTGTTCATATGTTAAAAAAAATTCATCAATATGTTGTTCACGTTTTTTTAATTCAAGATATTTTTGTTTTGTTTCATCATCAACTGTTGTTGAAGATTTATTTTGTTGTTGAACTAATAATGATGCTTGTATATCATCATGTTCATAGGATTGTTTAAGATTTTCATTTCGTTCACGTAATTCACTTATTCGTTTATCCATAGCAACTAGTTCTTGATTATCTTCTTTAACTTGTTGTGTTAATTTTTGACGTTCTTGTTCAGGTGTTAGAATATTTTTACTTTCATTAGTTAATTGATCACGTTTTAATTCAAGTTCATATATTTGTTCAACTAATGTTAATGCTTCTTGTTTAATAACGGCGCCTGACATTTGATCACGCATTTTATTCATATGACCATCAAGTGTGGAAATTTCATGTTGCATTGAATCCATTTGCTGTTGAAGTTGATTTGATGTTGCTTTTATTTTAGCGTAACGTTGTTTATATTCAGGATTCTAAAATTTATTTATAACAAAAAAAAAATAAAAATAAAAACCATTGAGAAGGAATATATGAAAATGTGAATATTACCATATTATCTAAAAGTCTTTCAGCTTTTTTCTTCTCTTCAGCAAGATCACGATCAAGTTTTTGAATTCGTTGCTCTTTTCTAAATGTAACGAATAATTATTACTATTTATGTTCAATAATTTTGACTAACGAGGGAATTATTCGAACTAGAACTTACCGTTTGAGCTCATATTCAGCCTACAAGGAAATTTTAGTAAGATCAGAAAAGTCTTAAAGGATTCGTGCCGATGGACCTCTGGAACCGAGTATGACTAGCAATGTGGAAAGCTACAATTTCGAAGTTTGTCGGGACCGAGACTACTAGAAAAAAGTTATCTAAACCGGAACTAAAGATTATAGTTAAAAATTATATGACCCTTAACGAATTATGTTAAAATTCATTATTTTTTAGATTTAATTCGCGTTAAGTCTGGAATAGTTTTCATCATATTGGGACCAGAAACAAAAAAAAAATCCTGCACATCTCTAGTCTTGATCGTTTTACTGGGTTATGGACACATATTAGGTATTGACTAGAAAACCAAATAACAGAATTTCGATCTGCAACTATGCCCATAGATAGGTCTAATGATCTATAGAATATTCTGAAAGTTTCAACTGACAAGAATGTTCGTTTGTCTAGATAGAGAATTATCAAATAAACTGATAGATCTATAACAAGCGATTCTTTGTTGGAAACTCGATATCTTGACAAATGAATATTCTTTGCGACTGAAACTTTCAGAGTATTCGAATGGTTATTAGATGCATCTATAGACTCATTTTCAGGTCGAAAATTAAGTAATATAGTCATCATTTTTACTTCAGAGACCCATGGGAAGAAAGTTTTCTAGTCTTACCGCGACCCCCTTTTTTTACTCAAAATGAGCTCAAACGGTGAGTGACTGTACAAATAGTGCCATCGTTAGTAAAGAAATTCAAATATTCTTAAAACAAACTTATATGTTCTTTTTTTTTACCTTTGCTTTTCAAGATAAATTTCATCAATAGTAGATTCAACTTGATGATTATGAGCATTTAAATCTGCAATTTCTTTTTTTAATTCAGCTACTTCGCCTGTTGTTTGTAATCGATCGATGACCTATACATAATAAAACTCAAATGAAAGTAAAAAAAAACAAGGAAAAATATTTTTTCCTACCATATTATAATCTCCTAGCTCATTACGTAAATTTTCAATTTGTTGTGATGAATCTTCAGCACTAGAAATAATTCAATTATTTTTATTTTTCTATTCAATTTTGTTGTGTACTAACGCTTTGCTTAATGCAAAATATTGTTTATTATCTTCAGTGAATGAATCAGTTTCACGTTGTAATCGTTGAATTTCTGATTCAAGATCCGATACTTTTGATCTAATAATAAATTATAGTTCAATAATTTTCACGTATAAAAATAAAACTCACCGAACAAGACCAACAAAATATGTTCGATCTTGTACTGCACGACCACCTAATCCTCCTGCATTGTGAATACCACCTAATCCACCTCGAACCATAGGTGCATCTTCAACTTTAATTCTCATGTTTGAACCAAGTGGACCACCTCGACTTGAAGGACGTTGCTAAGAAAAAAAATAATATTATAGAATAAAATTAATCAAACTTTTGCACTTACTCCACTTGCTGTTGTTAAGCGAGTAGCTGTACCAATTGGACGACCACTGCTTGTACCTGGTGCTAAATAAAATAAAAGTTAATCTCTATTTAAAACTGAATCAAGAGCCCGAGATGTAAAACAATAATTTACATATTATCATAATTCAAATTGCGACTGAACTATTTTTTTTTTGTACTTTATAAGTACCAAAATTGTTAGTTGAAAAATTAAGAAATTGTTTATAAAGAAGATTCTTTTTATCGAAGATCTATTCAATTATAATCATATACAAACCTTGTGGATTTCTAGATGATGGTGGATACGCACGCGACATTCTCTATCTTTCAATAAAATAATTTGTTCTATGATTAATTTAATATGTTTATAACCATTTTATTCACTTCTCTCAGAGTTTGTTGTCTTAGTAACAATTTTATCAACAATTATAGATGTCGTATATATTCATCATCTATTACACATGCATATAGATTTTCTTTATTTTAAAAAAATATGACTATCAATCCAATATTCACAATCTAGTAGAGTAAAATAAAAGTGAAAAGAAATGCACAAAAAATTTGTTGAAATATACGACAGCAAAAAAAAAAAGCACCCCATCGAGAGATGGACGAAAAAATGAAAATAGTAATTTTTAGGAAGTTAATGTTAAAGGACGATAAGAACGAAGAAGACGCTTCGAAGTTAGTTCACATTCACGTTGAAATGAAACATCAGGTAATGATTGAATGTCAATTGGAACCTATAAATAATTTATTAATAACAACAAAAATAAATAGAAGGTGGTAGAAAAAAGTTTAACAACGATGTTTGTTCTTCTTCTATACTGTTAAGCACGTAGTTTAAATCCAAATTGTGATTTTGATAGCTAATGGAATTTTCTATGACCTTTTCTTACAAAGTTAAAAGTAGATTGGAAAAAAGGCGATTTTTGGGATATTTTTAATTTTTTAAAGAAAGGTTGTTGAAAATTCGATGGGCACTCATTTTGTGTTCTTTAAAATGCCTTTGTTATAAAATAGCATCGATACCGGAAAATTACCATGTCCATTTTTTAGAAATCCTGGTATAAAATATATTCGATACAATAGTCGCAAGAAGTTCCGCTACGAGCTAAATAATATGTAAACTTCAATCCTTTCGTCTGATATTTTGACTACACGTAGAACTCAATAAACCTTGATCGCCAGTAGTAATCCGAGGAGATCGATAGACTTTATCGCAGTTTTTTCTCTAGGACTCCAAAAAGCTTTTTTTTTACACTTTTCTAGTTTTACGCTATTTCCATACATTAACCTTCATATTCTTATTAACAATTAAAGATTCACATGTCTATATTGTGACATCGACAGTGTACTCTAATTCATTGTAATCTTGAAATCGAGAAAGAATGCATTGTTTGGAACGGTCTTATCACCATACATGGCTGCGATCGTAAAATTTTCAAAAGAAGACTTGATTAGAGCAGGTTGGCCACTGGAAAAAATTTCAAGGCAAATGGTTACAATCAATCGAAGATATTAATCACTTTTCGGCAAGTCTCATTAGCTCTTGTGTGGAAATTACTTCTTCAATTAGGCAAACTAAAACCGTTTGACGTGCCATTTTGATTGGTAATACGGGCAGCATTGAGCTGTCAGAACGTCATAAGACTTGCTTTTTATATTGAGATATCCTCATCTAAGAAAAACATCTGTGTTAACCTTATATCTTCTCCGGATGTGAAGGTCGATCAGTGTGCTCTATTTGTGGTCAAAACTACGAGACTAAAGCATTGAAGTTTAGATACTTTTTGTGACTACTGTAGAAAACTTCATTGGTTATTAAAATCAACTATTTGGGTTTAAGCTAGGTGTTTAACAGTATAGAAAAGAAAAATACGTTGTTGTTAAACCTTTTGCCATCATCTTATATATAACCTGATATGTGTTCGATAAAGTTCGTTGTAAAGCTTTAATAAATTGAATCATTTCTTTAACGAATAAAAAATAAAATATCCAAGATTTTGAACCTTGATTTCCATGTTCAATAGACTTTAAAAAAAAAAAGAATCAAAATTTAATATAAATCGAAAATTGAAAATTTTACTTACTAATACACAATAATATTGACATTGTGGATCAACAAATAATTGTGCAACATATTCAAGTTTTATTGAATCAAGTTGACGAATAAGTGCATTATCATTTTCATCATGACATACATATATTTTTTCATCTGTTAACGTAACACTACATGGAACTGTATTTGCTGAATTTTCTTCATCTTTCATTGCCAAACGCTAAATTAAAAATATTAGTTTTTAACTTAAACCTTTTTCTAAATGATATTTACTCCTTGAGAAAGACCTTTCATAATAGCATTTAACCATTCATCTTGTTCAGTTTTTGATGTTGCTGCCATAATTAATGTTGTATCATGAGCAAACATTATTTCAATAACATGTGCTCGATCAGCATTACGATTTCTTCGACATCCTTGACAATTTTCATCACTAAATCATATTATTATTTTCATTTTTTTTGTTTTTGTAAGACAAGAAATAATATGCTTACAGTAATGTATATGATAATGCAGGAGTTGTATCTGACTTACGTAAATAAATATTGAGACGATCAACTCTAAAGAAAAATTGAATAATTAAATTGAAAGAAATATTTTTGGTTATTATACCGAAGAGTAATATAAGCATTTCGCCATGTTTCAAATGAATGTCGATGAGATTTAAGAGTGGCTGCACCAAGACGTCGTATAGCTGTCGCAGATTCAACAAGTTTTGTATAAAGAAAACCTTCTTTACGTAATTTTCGTCCACTCATTTGTGGTTCTTCCCAAAATATATAATGATAATCAAGTATTTGAACATCCTGAACATTCTAAGAATGAAAATAAAACGATATATAAATTTACTGAATAAAAATAATTTACACTCTTTTTCATATCAGTAGCTAATGCTTTTTTAATTGATAATTCTTGCATTGCTGCTGGGAATAATTTTGGTTCACGAAAACGTCCAATTTTTGATGCTTCACAAATACTAGCACATATGGCTCTGCAGAAGAACAAAAATAAATTTTTATTATCGAAGATATAGCGAATCAATATACTATGGTAGTCAAAATTATAGAATCAACGTATTATTGACTTTTTTGCCTCTATAATGTTAAGCTTTTAAGCTCAATTCCAGATAGTAGTCCGTGTTTCGCATTAGGTAAAATTTAAAAATAGGATCATAAAGAGGATTGAAAGCTGAATACAACTGACATGAAAAATTGCTCAGAATCCATTAATTCTCAAAATTAGAAATATTCTCAACTCAAATTAGAAATTCAAGAAATTGGTTTTTATCCGTGCTGACTAAAACACATGCTCAGTATTGAGAATTACAGGATTCTGAGCAATTCTTCATACTAGTTGTGTTCAGTTTTGAAAGCTCTTTCCAAATGTATTCTTAGGTTTTGCTTAATACAAAGCACAGATGTCAAAATTAGTTGGAATCAATCGAAAAAAACAAGTAAAAAATGTCAGAATCTATGTTTTCTAATTCGATTATAGCTTCGAATAAAGCAAAAGAATACTGATCATCATTGATATAAGCAATCCATATCAACTACATTACTAATAAGGAAAAAGTGTCATCTTTGACATTATGCTATAAGTATCAATTCCCTTAAAACGTTATAAGCGTCATAAAAAATGCGTTTTTTTTTAGCAATACCATGATAAATCTCTGTTTACGATGCTTATAAGTTTTTCAAGGTAAGATCGAAGAAAATGAAGTGATCTTTCATTTTATTGAAGGTTTTGTGCTCTATGAGATGGTATTTTTCAAAACTAATTTTCACACATCATTCTAGAAACTATTTTGTTTTTTCAGAAACTATACTCCATTTATGACATTTCAGTATGGAATGCATTTGAATTCGAGTTAAATACTTAATATCGTAGAAAAAAAAATTACGTTGATACTTATATTTTTTATCAGTATTTTAAATTGCTGAACTTTCAGATTATGAAATAAAGAATTCATAATTTATTTTCGTAATAGAAATTTTACCTTGTTAATTCTACACATCCTGTTGTTAAGGAACGAAGTTTACTATTTCTCATAGTAATTATACGCAAAAATTGTTCATTTGGACCAATCTTTAATAATCAAATCATTATTTTCCTTATTAAAATAGATATGATTTTTTTTACTTCAATATAATCGATTTGTTCCAATTGAATACTTTCGATTTTTTCTATTCGATATAAACCATTAGGTTCTTTTGTTTGTTGAAGTAAATAAACATTCATTGTTGTTACAAGAACAAAAACATTTTCAATATTGCCATTATTATGACCAATAGTTGTTGGAAATAACTATAAAAGAAAAATTAAAGAAAATTTATTTAACAGAAATAAAACTCTTCGATTATTATTAATACTTTAACTAATTGTTCTTTATTTTGTACTTCATAAACTTCTAATGTAAATTGTAATTGAAGATTAGCATCAGCTCTATAAATAAAATAAAGAAACGAGAAGAAATATCTTTATTTCTTCTTACGGTAAATCAAGTGCATCTAGATGCGTAACTTGTAAAAGATCATCATTTTTTCTTTCAATACTTAAATCATTTAAGCTTTGATCAATTGATATTGATAATGAAGATAATACTGAGTGTTCAGCTTTTTCGAAAACATTTATTGAATCTTCAACAAATATTGAAGATTGCTTTTCTACTATTACAGACTGATTTTCTACTATTGATGGTTGATTTTCCAGTAGTAATGGTTGATTTTCTACTATTAAAGATTGACTATCAACTGAATCTGTTAAAATTGATTTATTATCTGTAGGAATTGTCATGTTTTGTTGTTCATCAACTATTGTTGTTGGTATAGGTGATGGTGTTCGTGGCCGATTATTTAACATAGGATCAAGTTCACTTAAACTTGAACTAAGTCCTGCTGTTGTACATGCTAATGGTAATGGTGAACTAGTTGTTAAAAGTGTAGAATTTGGTATTAAATTTTCTTCGTTAAGTGATGAACCATCGATAGATGGGTTATCAAAACTAACAGATGATGAGCGTGATAATGTAGTTGGATGAATATCCGAAGATATAAAACTATTAACAACAGATGATGCTGTCGA